TAAATAAATTAAAAAAAAAAAAAAAAAACTTTTTTTTTTTTTTTTTTTTTTGGTACCAGGGATTGAACTAGGGTCCTTGAGCCAAATCCTAGCCCAAAAAACTTTCAAAAGGAGGCATTAGGTTTCTGTGAACATTATAAACACATTCTTGCTTTCTATGTGTAACACTTCTTTTGAGTTGGTAAAAGGGACTGCACTTTCATTCCAAACAGTTAAAAACATACATTTGAAAAATAATCATTAAGAAAACAGTCTTGAGATAAATATAGGAAAAGTGTTGTATAAAAATATATTAATTTACATTAAATGCCTAAAAATGCGCAAGTATACTCTTTTAGAACTAGATCATATTCCTTTATGCAAAAGGAATTTCGTCCAACTCTAAGAGTTGTCAGAATCCAAAGTCCAAGTCCAAAGTCTCCTCTGCGATTTTAGGCAAAAGTGTCACATCCAAGGCAGTCTTCACACATGACAATTGGATGTTTCAGGCACATGCCTAGTTTACACTGACAGCACATGTACTTACTTTCCTTTCTGTGTGGCTAGACATTTTTGTTACCTTTGTTTTGTTAGGAGCTTCCTACTATATTGTACAATGCGCACTTAGCAAGAAAATAAGATACCAATAAAATACCAAATATGTACCGAATGCTTAAGAATAAACATCAACATTTTCACATCGGATGTTTACTTGCTTACAAAACCTAAAAGATAACATCAGAAATAACGAACGTGAACTACAATGTAAATACAAACAAAAGTCTACCACAGAAATAATCTTTGCTTTAACTGTCACACCCAAGGCAACCTTCACACATTAGAACTGCATGTTCCATACCCAAGTATTGCTTACACTAACAGCACATGTTTTATTTTTCTGTAGGGCACAGTTGACATCTTTTTGGTTTTCCTGTTATCATAGTAGGTCTTTGTGTCAGGGAGCCTTGCAGTTCACCTGTCAGCTCACCAGTGTCCTCCACAATTTTTCTGCGTAACTGCCTGTGCAGAGACATTTTGTTTTTCCGCTGCTATAAATGATCTATTATGAGTTTTAGTCCCAATCTTCTATGAAGATTTCTTTGTGGTATTTTGCACTTGTTACTTTCTTTGTAAACTATCAAACTATTTATGCCGTACATGTTTAGAATTGAGTAAAACGTGTTTCAAGTGACATCATAGTTGCTGCATAACTAACATCTACTCTTATCTTTGGTTTTGCTGTACAAAGTTACCATTTCAGGTTTCTATTTTGTTGAGGTTTCCCTATCGATATTTTCATTATTGTGCAATGTTATTAGCATCAGCAGTACCAGTTTGTTTTTCTTTGCCATATATGAGGCCAATGTTCTATTTTTCTGAAAATGAAAGATTGTACTACATAATACTGTTTTGAAACTACAACATTTCATTTGGAATTTCTGCTTTGTTCCTGCATACATTTCCTATGCTGGGCAACTGGTGCCATTAGTAAATGTAGCACTGACGGGAAACTGGTAAACCAACTATCAAATATCACATTTTTTTTTCTTTTTATTGAGTTCATTGGTACATTTTAGGTATACAGTACAATTACATTCATTATTGGAATCTTGTGCCTTTACATAACAGGTCTTGGATCTCATTTTTCCCCTTGTCCCTGCCCTCCCTTCAACTGCTCCTCCCCTCCCCGTTTATAAACACTTTATTTCCATTTTCTTCTATTTTTTTCTTTTCCCTTATTCCCTTTCCCCTACCCTTCCCACTTTCCCTACACCTTTAGCCCTTTTCTTCCTATTTCACATTGTTAATTATCCCATTAGGATCTTGTGTACGATTATAGTTTTTCACACCAGAGAAACTATGGGGTATTTACACATGTGTGACTTATTTATTTCACTTAGGAGTATATCCTCAATATGTATCCATTTTCCTATGAATGACTCTAATTTCTCATTCTTTATGGCTGAGTATTATTCCACTTTATAGAAAAACCACATCTTCTTTATCCAGTTTCCAATTGATGGACAAATGGGCTGTTTCCAAGTTTTAGCTATTACAAACTGTGCTGCTATAAACATAGGTGCGCATATGTCACTGTGATATGATTCTTTTAGTTCTTTTGGAAAGGTACCCAGCAGAGGGATGGCTGGGTCAAATGGAACCTCTAGTCCCAGCTCTTTGGGTTACATTTCAATTAGTTTGGGAGATGGAACAAGTCTATTCACAACATCATTTGGTTTATTATTATACAAATAAGGACCTGGAGGCTGAGTTCCAGGATAAATTTCAAAATCAAAAGCACAGTAACCTTTGCATCTACAAGGCCAAAAATTGTTAAGCCATATTTTGAAAGTTTTTTGGGCATATACTGCCTGAAGCTACAGCAACAATGAAATACTACAAGATGTTCATCAATAGTCATGTATTCAGATAGTGTATAAATTGTTTTACTATTACCCACAAATTGCTCAAACAATGAATGGTCAGCAGCTAGATTATTAGTTCGTTTTCTTTCTTGGTAGGTGGCTTTGTCATCAAACCTCAGGCAATTTTGAAGGAAACCAAATCTCCTCAGTGTTATTCTGCAAACTTCAAGCCCACACCCATAGCTTTTCCATAAGTCTTTTACATTCCTGTAATTACCAAGAGAAAGCCCTGCTAAGTACAGCAGACCTATGGATGCTTTCTTATAGCTAGTGAAGTGTCACAATAAATACATTTTTGAGTATGACTACTAGTGCATAGAGAACATTTTATTTGTATTTCATACCATGCCTTGACAGACTCTACTGCTTTCTGGCTGATGATTTGTTTGCTTGTGCTTGTTTACTGCTTTTTTTGTTGTTGTTTTTTTGGTACCGGGGATCGAACTTGGGTTCTTGTGCTTGCGAAGCAGGTGCCGAGCTAAATCCCCGGGCCCTTTACTGTTTTTTAATGTAAGACTGATGATATAGGATGAAGAATGTTTAGAAATGCTTGTAATGCTTTTTTTTTAATACCAGGGACCGACCTCATGCTTGCAAGGCAGCCACAGCACCATTGAGCTAAATCCCCCGCCCTCCTGAGGCTTTTTAACAGAATAAAATATCCTTAGGTACTCTTAGGAGGAACATGCCAGAGAAGGAGAGAGATACAAACTATCACTAGGCAAATACTCTACAAATATCTAGGGATTGAACCATTCAACTCTAACCTTCCAAAGTAATTAAAACAAAAGCAAAAGAATGCAAAACAGGAGGGTTGCATAATAAAAGCTGAGGAGAGCTGCCTCCCTTCTCTAACCAGGCTCTCTGTGGTCAGACTGGCCACCAGAAAGCCAAGCAGCCATTATCAGCTGCAGGTCTACTATGTGAAACAGCCAAGGTTTGTTAGTTGTGGAATATACAGTTTGCAAATTACCCAAGCCTCTAATTTTTAATGCTATTCTTTATGTTACCTTATTGCAAAGAAATAGAAGAAAAGCAAACATATATAGGACAAAACATGATCTTATGGCTAGCATTAACTTTTCATTTAGATAAAATGTGTGTCACAGGTGGAAAAGTAATTTTGGGTATTAAAAGTAAATCCAATGTTAAAGTGTGACTCCACTATGATTTTCTTAGTGTGATATACCTTTTGTATGGATTTCCCCGAATGGGATTTAATAACAAAATTAATAAATTCCTTTCTGCACCATACTACTACTTAACTAGCAAACTAACAAAGATATGTGTGCATTCTGTAAAGGATGATCATCAATCATAATTAGTGGCATGTAGTGTTTTGTTTCATTTCTTTTAATAGTATCTCATGCTGGAATAATAGATTGACACTGGCAAAAACTTCACTGTAATAGAATTGCATGTATTTCAGCTACTGCTCAGTAGTGTAAGCACTAGCATTACTTATACTGGAAGGAAGTAGAAGATCACCTGGGACACCATGCTGAGCCACAAGGACCTGGAACTCAGCCTCTGGGTTCTCCACAGCATAAGGAAATAGAAGGGACAGCTAACAGTCTGACCGGGTCAAACATGAAACCAATTACTAGGAGAGTTTCACTTCAGGACTTAAGCGATAGCCTACCACAGAGAATAAGTGTGAGATACGTGTGGGAGATAGGCCTGGAGAGAGCAAGGGCTAAACAGGGACTTCTGGGGATCCCTTAAGATGCCTGGGCTCAGATCAGAAAGATCATAGGCCTAAATTCTGTTTGGGGAGGCCAGTTTCAGTGGGGGTAATCATTAAAGGGGACAGTTCTAAAGAAGGCAGTTAATCTAGTGGTATGATTAAGCTCTGGCACTGCTGCCTACATCCAGCAGAAAATAGTGGTCTCAATTACTATAGGTCAATGTAAGGGTAGCCTGTTTTCACTAAAATCATAGTCCTTTTTGTTTTGGTTACAGGCTGTTCATGAGTAATTCCTGGAAATCAGTTTGATAATATCAAACTGTTGGTATCAGTTGACATTTTATACCACTGTTCTTTCTCAATTTACTACTATAGCCAAGGTACTATCGTAGTGGCTGGCAACTTGTTTTCTCTCTACCAATACAATGTACCCTGGTTCACAAACTTAATTTGTTCCATGATTTTGGGGATGATGGCTATGTTTGTGCTTGTGTGGGGAAGACAGCTGCAGTAGATAAGCAGAATAGATCAAGAAACAAAATCCAACAGTATACAAGAAACACATTCAACACAAAAGGAAACTCTCAAAATCAAAGGATGGAAAACAATATTCCATTCAATGGAAACCTGAAAAGAAGCAAGAGTAGGTACTCTATTTTCAAAGTGGAGTTCAAGCCAAAGTTGGTCAACAGAGGCAAAGAAGGACATTACATATTACTTTAAAGAAGCTATTCAATAGGAAGAAGAGATAACAAATATATGCACAAAACCACAGTGCACCCAACTTCATAAAACCCTAATAGGCATAAAAGATCAGATGCACAATCAATACAATCCACAAAGAAATATCAGGGTTGAACCAAACCTCTGAACATCACTTTCTCTAAAGTAGACCACATACTAGTTAAAAAACTCCCAACTCTCCACAAGGAATGCAATCAATATGTATTGCAAACATGTTATTAATGAAAGAATAAAAATTTAAAACAAAAGAAAACAAAACATAAGCTTAGTTATTAACTGTAACTGATTTGGAAAGTGGTTCTTCACAACCCCCCTCCCAATCCCCCCCACCCCAATCCTAGGGATTGAACCCCAGTCCTTTAAAATCTATTTTGAGATAGGGTCTCTAAACAGTTAAATTAGCCCAAGCTAGCCTTGAAGTTGTGATCCTTCTGGCTCAGCCTCCCAAAGTGTTTAGATTATAGGCACGTGTCACCACACCCAGCTTAAAATGCTCTGATGTAGACAAATATGAATTAACATTTGATTTTTATTAGCTTCCAGTTAAACACTATAGAAAGATATTCTTGCTTAACTGTGTTAAATATATTTAACAAAAAATCCTGCATTTCATATTATGATTCTGATTAGAAAACCATAGAGCAACAAATATTTGATTGAAATGCTATTTAGTGCTCTCACGGACATTCTATAATCTCCTCCATACTTTATTCTGTCCTCTAAAAGTCTGTCATAAGTAATCCTAATTTTCAAAATGAAGCACTTCTGTCAGTTATTGTATTTTTATGTTTAAAGTCTTCATTCTTTTCATTTAAACCTAACTGATATTTTGAACAGGATATAATCATATAGTTTACAAATTTAAGCTGCAAAATAGTATTATTATAGACTGAGTGTATCCCTCCCCTAAATTAGTATGTTGAAATTCTATCCCCCAATGTGATGGTATAAGAAAGTGTGGTAACTGGGTAATTGGAGTGGAGCCCTCTTGAGTGGAATTAGATTTTTGTTTGGTTTTCTTTTGAGACAGGACCTCAGGCTGGCCTTGACCTCACTATGTAAGCCAGGTTGGCCTCAAATTTTCAGAGACTTTTCTACAGCCTCCCAAGTTCTGGAATTACAGGAAGGAACCACCATGCACAGCTCTGAAAAACCTTTATTCAAGGGTCTCTGGACAGCTATCTGATTCTCTCTCCCATTTGACAGGATACAGCAAAAGTTGTCAATCTGAAAAAAAGCCCTCACTAGAGCCCGACTATGCTGGTGCCCTGATCTCAGACTTCTAGCTTTCAGACTGTGAGAAATAAATCTTTGCTGTTTCTGAGTCACTCAGTCTATGGTACTTTTTAATAGTATGTGTTAGTTACTTTTCTCTTGTTGCTGAGACAAAACACCCAACACCCAAAGTTGGAAGGGAAGGGTTTTATTTGGCTTACAGTTCATAGGAGTTTCAGTCCATAATTGGCCAACTCTAAGGCAGGGGTGACAAACAGGCACAGCAGAGCAGAAAAGAACATGGTGTACCAAAGGTATCAAAAGAGAGCTTCACTATATCTTTCTGCCTTTTATCCCATCCAGACTACTGGGATTAGGGCAGTACTAAATCACTCATTTACATGCAGTGGTTTAGTAATCACATGCCCTTAATCCCAGCACCACACGTTTCAGATTCAGCCACCTCTGACCAAATGAGGTTTTGGGGGACATCCAGACCCAAACCATAATATAGTATTTTGAAGAGGTATACAGTCCTCCATTTAATCCTGCTTCCCAATTACCTGGCTCCTTTGTCTGAAGACTCTGAGGGTTTATTTTTTCATGCATGCACAAGCATAAGTATTTGGGTAAAGACAGCATTAACTTCTTCACATATGCACAATGGTAACACACTACATATAAGTCAGCAAGCACCCTTTTCACTAGGTATCTCTTGTAAACATACCATTCTACAAAATTGCACTCTTGAGTTTTGTGGTTGAAAGGTATTCTAATGCAGAAATGTATAAAAATTAATGTTAACACCCGTAAGTCATTTAGTTTTCCCCCTTATTTTTTGCAATGAATGAAATTACAATGAACAGTACTAAAGGTGGGCCATTTCTAGATTTTTTCATGTAGGCTGATACTTTTAGATATTATATGATGTGACTAGTCAAAAACAGCTAAAAAAAATCTACCTTAGTTTCCATGTTGAGGAGATGAAGTCCTTTTATATTCACTCCTACGTACACAGGGATGACTTTATGATTACTGGGGCTTGCCTTTGTAAAGATCTGTCCGGTGAAAAAAGCTGCTCCATACGTAGGAATTTCCCAACAATTTTGTAAGAACATGCGCTGCAGGTGGTGCATTTCTTTACTGATGCCCTCACTTGTACTAAGGTTCTAAAAGCAAATAAGGTAAAATAAAAATAAGAGAATTGTACCTTTGACTGACATAGGTCAAATAAGCAATTTTTAAAATCAAAGTTATCTCCAAGGAAAAAAATTAAGGAATATAACCCAAAGTAGTTTTATTGTGTTTTAAATATTAAAAATATTGTCTATTCTATTTGATTTTAAGTGTTTCAAGGGCAGGAACAGTATACTATTTCAAATTTTTATCTCTGATCCTTATCATAGCATTCAACATATAGAAAGTACTCCATAATCTACACTGCTAAAAATAAAATATCACTACTTTCAGTTTCTGGTGGTGTAAAATAAAAGATCCATTTTTAATTTTGGGATTATGAACTTAATGTACTTACATTTAAAACATTAATAACATTAACAGAATTAACTAGGCCATAAAATGTCTTTTTATTTCTGTTAAACACCTTACCTTGTATTCATGAAGTATTCGATTTGTCCAGTGAGGTGCCTTACTTTTCAGTTTGGTAATAGGTACAATGGATTTTAGATTTTCTTCACTGTAAGCACACATGTCAATATCCTTTAAGTAAGTCATCTTTAGTAACTAAAGCATACTAATCCTTCTGTCACAAATGACTTTAAGTAATAATTTTTAATCTGAAAAATATTGTTTTAAAGTATCAGAGAACTTAAAAACCTTAAGAGTTCAAACTTTGTGTCAAAAAAATCACAATCTTAAAGCTAATTTAGAGAAATGTTTCTTCAATAATCAGGAAATATTTTTGAAAACTGAGTGCTTGCTTCAGCAGCACATTTGCTAAAATTGAAAACAATAAACAAACTTAAATGTGCTAAAATTTTAATGTTTTCTCAGCAAACATGAAACTAGTTTTTACTGTAGAATTTTTAAGTGCTTCTGCTTTATGAAAATTTTTATTACTTATACAAGTCAGGTTTTAGTACAATTATGTAAGCAAATAAGAAAAATAAAAAATAAATAAAAGTATGGAGTATTTCCATATAAGCAAAATAAGTTTTGAAAGTAAAAGTTTAAGAATGCTTAAAAAAACTTTAAAATTTCTTTTGCACGTTTGCAGTTCATGTAGTTTACTATTGTCTTGAGGGGTAGATACATGTAAACTTTAAGAGTTATTTTCCATAATTCTTTGGTTTTTTTGGTCTCTCACTCTGTGCCTTATACTATTAATTTTAAACCAATGTATATTTTCTAATAACATTTAAAAACTTTTCTGGTTAAAGAGAATTGAGCAAAATGCGCCTTGCATTAAATACTTACTTTAGAAAACCTTGCTTGTGTTTCTTACTCTCATAATTTCCATAAACAATTTGTAACAATAGACTTGCCAATGTTATCAGTTTAGCATCAGGAGCTGTATAAAAGCCCTTCAGTAAATTATATCTGGCTTCATCGAATAGAATAAGAATAGCTAGGGGATCTTCAATCTTAAAAGAAAATGTATAATCTGGTTATTACACTATAATTTCCCTTTAAAAAAATGTACAACTTGCTACTGTCTAATAAAGGAAAAGTAAAAGCTACATATTTGTATATAAATAAGCTGTCACTGTTTGGAGCAGGAGTTGGCAAAATTTTTCTAGTGGGAAGACAGTAATATTTTGAAGTGTAAAAACTACTAAATTTCTGTTCCAACTATTGAATTCTGCCATTATAGCATGGCAGCAGCCACAGGCAACATGCGAACACAAGGCCATGGCAGTGCTCAGATAACTTTTTATAGATAATGAAATAAGAATTCCAGACAATTTTCACAAGATAAAATATTGTTCTTTTGAATATTTCAATCATTAAAACATACAAACAAATATTCTTAGCTTTCCAGCTATTACAAACATAGGCAGACATCAGGATATGTCCATAGGCTATAGTTTGCTAACACCTCATTGACTATGTAATAATATCACCGTCAGTTTGTGGATATGAATAATTTTTGGCGTAATTTTATCCAAAGTTTTACATTCCTAAAATATTTTTCTATTATCTACATTTCATACAATATAGTAGTGAACTTCAAAGAACATAAAAGAAAGTCTGTCAATTCCTAGAACAAATGTAATTTTTTTTTTTTTTTTTTTTTTGAGACAGGGTTTAGCTATGTAACCCAGTACGGCTTTGAACCTGCAGTGATCCTCCTGACTCAGTCACCCTTGTGTTGGGGTTACAGGCGTGTGTCACTATACATGGTAACAAATATAATTTTAAAGAGCTTCATGTTTTAAAGCAAAGATTTTAAATTTTATTGGAATAAAAAGACTTTGTAATATCAAGTAACATTAAGGAGGGTATAGTTTTTTTTTTAATTAAAAAAAAAAGTCTTATCCAATAAGCTTAACAAAGGTAAATGCCTAAAATCACAGCACTCCAGGCCAAAACAGGAGGATTGCCTTAAGTTCGAGGCCAGCCTGGGCCACCCAGTGAGTTCAAGGCCAGCCTGCACTACACAGCGAGACTGTTATGTTAGTACCACAATATTTTGATTATTTGAGTGTCATACTATGTTTTGAAATTGGGAAATGTAACCCCCTAACTTTATTCTTCTTTTTTTCAAGATTGTTTTGACTACCTGAGACCCATTGGCATTCTACTTGAGTGTGCTCGCTTTGGCAGCACATATACTAAAATTGGAATTCTACCTCAAGACAGCCTTTTACATTTCTGCACACAACATTGTTCGAATTTTGTTGAAGATTACTCTGAAAAAGATTACTCTGCACGCCTGTAATCCCAGCACTCAGGAGTCTGAGGTAGGAGGACTGCTGCGAGTTCGAGACCAGCCTGGGCTACACAGTGAGTTCCAGAGCAGTCTGAACTATATAGTGAGACCCTGTCTCAAAAAAACTAACAAAAAAGATTACCCTGAAAATGTAGGTCACTTTGCTAGTGACTAACAGCTCAACAATATTAGGTATTCTTAACCTTGATCTTGGGGATATCTTTCTAATTAATTAGGTCGTGTTTTCCAGTAATGTTCTGTATTTGCAATATATGTTTTGAACTTTTTTGTTAACTCCTGGATATTTTATTCTTTTAGGTGATACTTTAATGTGTTTCTTAATTCTCTTTCTGGATTACTCACTGGTGGCAAACAGAAACACAAACTGCTTTTTGCTTTTGTTGAACTTTTATCCTACAACTTTCCTAAATCAATGTACTACAATGATCAGCTTTCTTATGGATTCTTTGAAATTTCCTATATATAGGGTATTGTTATTTGCAAATAGAAAGTTGTATTCTTTCCTTTCCAACTTGGATGACTTTTGTTTCCTTTTCTGGTCTAATAGCTCTGGCTAGATTTCTAGTATACTGTTAAATCACAGTGCTAAAAGTGGGCATTCCTATACTGTTCTTTAATCATAGGAACAAAATTTTCAGTGTCTTACTTTTGAGCATGATGTTAGCTGTGGGTTTTTCATAAATGCCTTTTACCATGCTAAGGAAATTTTTTTTTTTTTTTTTTTAATTTGTTGAGTTTCTATCATGAAAACATGTTAGATTTTTTAAAAAAAATTTAAATTTTGATTAGTACCCATTTGCAGGGATCTATTTTCTGTTTTTCATAGTTACCATTATATTTAGATTACCATACTTAAAGATGTTATAATCTTTCTTCTAGGTTTCTCCCTTGTTTAAGACATTACTTCATCTCTTCTTTAAAATAATATCCACATACAAACATAAAAGTATTTTGGTTTTTTATCAAACCTATATTCTATTCTTTTTTTTTTGGTACCAGACATTGAACTCCAGTCCTTGCACTTGCAAGGTAGGTGGCGGAACCACACAGCTAAATCTCCGGCCCTTAAATTCTATTCTTATTTGTAGTTCCCTGCTTGACTCAAGAACAGTTACTTATCATGAAAAATAACTTTCTTACGTCTTCCTTGCAAATATATTCGTTTTTTTATTTTTTTGTGGTATGTGGGACTGAACTCAGGACCTTGTGCTTGTGAGGCAGGCACGGTGCCACTGAGCTAAATCCTTGGCACTTCCTAACTATTCTTAAAAACTATAAAATTTTTCCCCATTTCATTGCTAGTTTTATTTATGATTCTTCTGTTTCTTTCTTAAAAAACAATCAGGGCCAGGGATTTAGCTCAGTGGTGCCACTGCCTGCCTGGCAAGTACAAGGTCCCGAGTTTGATCCCCAGTACCAACAAAAAAACAAAACAAAACAATGAGACAATAAGAGTGGAAAGGCAAAAATACAAATTAAGGGTTTTGTAACTGAAACTATAAATACCATTGGGATGTAAGGACTGAACAGAAAAACAGAAGTAAAACAACCGAGTTGCTTCTAGTGTCTATGATAGGAATCCAATAGATTTTGTACATTTAAATGACTGTAAATAAGATTTCCAAGCAAACCTTTTTTTCAACTTCTAGAGGAAGTCTCACATCTCTTCTTAGGAAAAGCTGTGGCGTTTCTCTTTGGGGATCCAAATTAGTCAATTCAGCAAGTATTTCTGGCCAGTCATGAACATGTTGTAAGGGTTTATGATAAGGCTTAAGCTGAAGGCCTGAAAAACATCTTTACTTTTATAAATGATAATGTAAAAATAAATCAATTATATCAATGCATAGAAACTCCATATTAAACTAGCTGTATTCAAGTACCAAATATATATAAATTAAAGGTCCAAATTTAAACCATTAATCATTTTTACTACCTAATTTGTAGGTAATTGGTTTTAGAAAGATAATTATAATTCTTAAAATTTATCAAATGTACACAAAATTCTTAATTCCATTATAGCCTATTCAATGACATAATGAATATGGTGTTAAAATTACTACAATTAAACTACTAGATAACCAACCACATCAATCATCATTAATTGTTTACATTTCTGTAATACTGTGACAAAGCTAGTGACAGGTTGATTTTAACTTAAAAGGTTTGATAGTAAACTACTGTACAGAAAAAGAACATCTGTATTATTTTGAAGTTAAGACAGAAGAAAATAAAGACAAACTGTATGAGGCTACATTTTTAATGGTATTTAAATCAAATGCCACTGCAGGAGATAAAAAATTTGGGCTCCTACAACTTATAAAATGCTTTGAAGGGAGGGAGGGGGCCTAGGAGCTTACCTGCTTGAGCAGTTTGAACAGTAACAATTTATATAAAAGAGGACACAGTATTGTTTCAAATTTAAAAGTCAATAATGAATATATGTTATATGAATAGTTTACCAACCTACTACTGAAAAGGATTAATAGGGTTTGAACAACAGAATAAAAAGTTTCTTACTAAGGTTTTCTGAACAAATCCAAATAGTGAAATATTGCTGAGTTTCTTGAGAGAGACGCATGCCTTCCATTATTTGCTGTACTGTGGTATTATTTCCATGCTTCAGTTCAACAGAACGGTATGATCCATCCATTCTGTATATTCGCACTTTTTCATACTGGACAAGAATGATAAAATTATGTATCACAACTAACAAGATACTTCACTTTCAACTTCACATTATTTAGTATAGACAGAGCTTCACTACATAGGCTGGCCTTGACCTCACCATGTAGCATAGGTTGGCCTTGAACTCAAAGAGAGTTCCCTACTTTAGCTCTGGAGTGCTGGCATTAGTTTTTTTTT